CATTATTGAAGGAACATTTGATAACTGACTACTCAGTAAACTTGGACCATGCAAATGCTCACAAGCATAAAAATATGGCTATCAACTGTTCAAAGATAAAACGGTTACCCAGGTTGTAGTTAAGGCTAATGTTTTGAAAGGCACAGAAAAATTTTTCCTGTTTAATTAATTAAAAGTGTTGTGCATGCCTCCATGAAAAAGGCACACTGTGGAATATATGTTCACCTACTGTAGGTCTAAGACACTAGTTAAATATCTTGTGCAAGTTGCACTTGTACAGGTGGTTCCGTTGCTGTAAACATGTAGCTGCCTTGCTATTTCAAATTTTGGACTCAATATCCAACTTCAATTATTAAACTGAAGTCCCACATGATTTAACATGTACACAGTCTGACAGTCACTGAACTTACTAATGAGAAACTTGATACTGCAGTGCTTTTCGACAAAGTAAAAATAAGCAAGGCAACTTTCAAGACAGAAAAAACATTGCACAGCAAACTACAACAACCCAGCATCTGCTTTTGCTAAACATGTAAATGTTGAAGACTTAAGAAAACGTGAAGACCGGTTTGAAAACTGTTGGCACTTGTGATTATTTGCAGGGCCTGTAGTATCCAACAATTGTGAACCTTTCCAATATCAAGAATTTGTTGAGGAATTGCCTTCAAAAAAGGCATTCAATAATGCAAACCTATTTGCAAATCAAATGTACAATACAAAATTTGAACATCTATACTGGAACAACTTACTGTTCCTAGCAGCAGTGTGCAAACATTTGCCTTTGCAGCAGTGTGCAAACATTTGCCTTCTCCGGAGTATATAGACCAGATACTCGAAACACTCTTTTTTCACCCAAAGAACAAATGGTTGACATTGAATGCAATACAAGAGGTCAGTCACAGAGCAAACTTTGGTTTCATGAACAACGAGGTCGTCTACTGTAACTACCTCACATTTCAGTACGGCAATGAAATGAAGAGAAAATGTTTTCCTCACATCACTTCTTAGCAAAATCCTTTTGCCAGCAAGCAATGTAAAGAATGTCAAGTGGGGCAACCATAATGAGCAGATTGCCATTGAAAAACATTTAGAGCAAAATAATTCAGGATGAACTGATAATGACTGCATGTGTAATGACTGCATGTGTTCAGTGTGGGTTATTTGTTAACACAGAAGCTCCATGGCTTGGTGAAACCAGACTGCCTGTTATATAATTATGCAGAGCCAACAACATTTGGGATAGGTGAGGTGAAGTGCCCATTTTCAAAAATGCAGACTGACTTCTAAATTATGTTGGCATTTCAATTTGTTGTTCAATCTGTACAATGAATAATTACACGGGTATTTGGGTAGGTTTTTTTGAAAGGCTGTGGCATAGTTTGTTGTATATAATCTTGTGATGCCCAGATGGGTAATGATCCTAACTTGTGATGGAGAAACTCTAACCATGTAGCCCATATATGTACGAGAAACATGTGCTGTGAAATGCCAATTCAGAGAGCAATATGTCAACCCATATAAGACCACAACGTACAGTAGGCGACATTGATCTTTTTCGCCACAGCTTTTTTATTCTGCCGAGTATTCTACATTGTTACTCGAACCAGCATAAGTTAAGAAATTACATGGTGGTTGCAGAAAGTCAAAGAAAACTTTAAATGTTGCATAATTTTGAAAACCTGTATAGAATTTAAAATTTGTGTCACTGGCAAGTACATGTTCTATTCGCAATACACACTGTTCGTATTTAGATGATAACTGTAAACTCTGCATGTTCAGTTTTTAATCTTTCATTGGTTGACTCTTGTGTATCAATGCCAGTCGTTTGTTGTTCAAACTGGGTTGTTCAGTCTCACTAGCTGTCTATAATTATATATGTTCCCTACCTTGGCTATACTGTTAACAGTTTGGCTACATGATATTTTAACGAGAGTTGGCAATGCACTAAAAGATTTCTCAGTGTAAGAAACACACTTTGTGGCTTTTTTATAAAAGATTCACTTTGTATTCCCAATATAAAATTCAGCCATATTTCTCACAGGAAATATATGGAAGGATAATTCCGAATTTTGAACACTGTCGCTTCGACAAAGTGGCACACAACAGGTCGTTCCCCTGAACATTTTACCTTTAGCACTTTTTCCGTGTCACTTGCTATATTTATCCAAACAAACAGCAAACCAAACGGCTCGAAACTTTCCAAAATATACTCAAAACAAGCGAGGTTGCTTTAAATTTGACTCGCGTAAAAATGTTGTAGTTAAAAACTCCAATAAGACACTTGAACAGCAGTGAATAGTACTTAAAAGTACTTTATAAATCTTTGAAAACCTTTGAAATGTGAAAGCTCGGTATTTCAAACAGTACCTGTTTTGATTTTTCGCGCCAAACAACCTCAATGTTTTGTGGTTGTGAAACGAACGTTTGATCAAACATCTGTTGTTTTGGGACGGTCAAGTGTGCAAACATTTTTGTCTCTCGAGTCGCTAGAATTAAACCGATCATTAAAATTTTTAGGCAAATAATTGTTTACAACGTGTTCCTTCTTTCGAAAATAATTTAATGCAGCACTCACCTTCATGTTGTGAAATATTCAAAAATTTGTTCCTGACTACTACGAATCGAACTCCTTCCCCGCTTCAGTGACTTTGTACGCCATGTTAAATATTTCAACCGCACTCGCTCGTAGAAGTCCAAGACGAAGTAGAAATATGAAACAAGTCGTACAGATTTAGTCAAAACTTTAATCAAAGCGAAAATGATAAACGTTTTCTTGCAATTCTCATGTGTTTAGCACCTTCCCTCGTTCGAAAAGTATAAACGCCATGTTTTAAAATTCTGCTGTGTAACTAAACTACCATGATGCTTAGCAATTCCGCAATTGGCCCATTGTTTACTATGTAATATCTTCTACTTATATTATAAAAGAAATAGAAAAACTCGTCTCGTGCGTTTATGGTGTGATAATGCACTTGGGAAATGTTGGGAGAATACTCGAGAAGCGTGTAAAACACTCGGCTACGCCTCGTGTATTCCACACGTTGGCAACTCTGACGTAGAAGCTGTTTTGGTAGCTCACTGTCTTGCACTTGGCTACTTCAAGTAAGATACCATTGGTTGCATTAGTACTTCGTGTTTCTCGAGTAGGAATCTTGATAGAAATGTTACTGTCAGAGTTGGAAATGATGCACTTGTAGAGATACACTAGATCTAAATATTCGTGCCAGTAACATATAGGGATGATGCCGATGGTGGTCAGTCTTTCCTGGTATGATATATCGGTTTGGTACGGCAATGACAAAATAAATTTGGTGGCACGTCACTGCACACGTTCAACGGTCAAGATGTTGTTTACCGTCTGGGGTGCCCATACCTGACTGCCATAAGCCAGCTGACTACGAACCATAGTCAAATAAAATACCTTACGAACTCTACGCTGGCGAATGTCGAACGCCGCTCGCTTTACGAAACCTAACATTTTATTTGCTTTGGTCGTCAGTGGTAGTTATGCTAAGATCTTTCTGACTGGATGATTGTAGGACTGGAGTGTCTGATATTGGGTACTGTGTGATCATCGGTTGAGCAATTCTTGAGAAATGCTTGACTACACATTTGGTTTGGTTTAAGTCCATCCTCCAATCATTACACCAGTTGGCAACACTATTCAGATCGTGCTAAAGAATTATGGTGTCTTGGAAATTTCGAAGATGACGGTGACATTTTGTGTCATCAGCGAATATTGACACGGTAGTATCGTGCGAGGTAGACATAGGAAGGTCGTTCACGTAGATGAGGAAAAGGAGTGGTCCAAGGATTGATCCCTGAAAAACTCCAGAAAGCAAAGGAAGTGGTTCAGATGTTACACCAAGAACAGTGACTCTCTGTAATCGCCCAGAAAGATAGTCCCCGAACCAGCGAAGAAGAATTCCTCTGATGCAAAAATTGTGAAGCTTCACGAGTAAGAGATCATGGCTGACTTTATCAAAAGCTTTCGCGAAATCAAGATAGATATTGTCAACTTGGCCCCTTTTCTCTAAGACATTATGAATCTCGTGAACAACATAAAGCATCTGGGCAGTTGTAGACTTGCCGCTTTGAAAACCGTATTGAAGATCATAAAGTTGACTTGAGAGGTGGCCAATAATTAGTCCGTATTCCCTGGTCGATTATCGTTCAGCAATTGAATTCACCAAACGCAACCAGTTTTCAATATCAAAAATATGTAGATTTTTACTCACCAAGCACATTTCTGTTTGTTTACACTTGCAACACGTCCCAGTTTTTTAGCTACATGCGTCTGAATTTCGACAACAATGAGTCTTTAAAGAATTTGAAAGACGCCATTTTTTCCGACATTTCCATGGATACTTCATGTAACATATATTAAACAAACTCGTTTCAAGCCCTTTCCATCAATTTTGCGCAATTTAGTTGAAAAAGGGCTAACTGTTTCATTACAATTTACTACCTCTTTAATTAATGTGCATATGCGAAAATATAAGAAACAAAAGTATTTATAGGAATATGTATATACTTTGCTAGATTATATACTTTGCTAGATTATAATTATGAATGAACCCAGTATTCAGTGAAGACCATAATTTCTGTATTAAGCCTCCCCGCTGGGGCTTATTTCTATCCAATTATCATTTCTCTGGAATTGGAGCTGCTCCAAATACCGTTTGATAAACTTTAACAAAAAATACTCACTACGGTTACATGTTTACATGAGTAAAGTATGCAGATTCGCGTTATTCAAGCAGGAAAAGTGCTCTGATAATCAACTACCGCCAACGTGCGACAGTTTGCTGCAACACATACGCCGTGAAAACTATCTAGCAGCTATTTGGCTCCAATCACTTGACGCAGAAATGGCTATTCCTCCAATTGATGAAAATGGGTGGCGTTTATATGATGGGGAGTTGACCACTCCTCCTGCGCCAGATTCGCTGCTTGAGTGCATCAACTGTGGTTGCAAGACTGGTTGAAAAACCCAACGTTGTTCATGCATGAAAGTTGCGTTACAATGTACAGATGTATGCACTTGTGTGGGCTGCACGAATGGAAAAGATAGTGACGAACTGTCAGAGGTAGAGTATGATATCGGGGACTGGCTAAACAGAGAGTTATGAAATGGAGAGTTATCTCGGAGAGTTAAGATTTCGGCAAGTTATGTTCGAACCACGCCCAAACCACGCCCACTTTCCCCAACGACCACACCCATTTTCTTAACTCTCTCGACCTTTCCTTGAACTAACATGAGAGAGTTATGTTTGACGTAACTCTCTCTCATGATTGTGGCAATGAAGAGAGTTATGTCAGTTTTTTGAAAAAAACTTTCACATATTAGTAAATTTTTGTAAATTTACTTTTTTCTTTAGTACTTACCAAGTTCATCTGTATGTAAATGTTTATATACATGCTCACTTGGATTATCTAGCAAGATCAGCATTCAGATACAGCCCTCGTATTAGACAGAACCAGAAAACCTTTCCAATGTAATGCCCTATTGGCTGATCTGGGAAAGTATTTCCAAAACCTGGATTGCTGAAAGATTCAATTTTCTTAATTTTCTTGCAACTATGCTTACCATATTTACTGCCAAATACACGTCAAATCATGCTTCTGGGGGTACCTTTGACCCTTCTGATGCAAGCATCTCATTGTTTTGACCAACTCAAGTTATATTTCCTGTTTGGACACACGCTATTGACACGCTACAAACTGAAATACCAAAATATAAGATGAAAACCTGAAGAAACAAGCTTTACTAAGGTTTTCTCAAAAACTGACTTAATTCTATTCATTGCCGTAATCCTGAACGCGGAGAGTTATAAAAATGATAATTTATTTATTCAACTTCGCCAGGTAAAATTACACGAATGACATGCATACAATACATATACAAAATGATACAAGTGACAAATGGCGGGGACACCACAACAGTTAAAACCAATTACTGCGGGCCCTTTTAACATATAGGTTACATACAGATATCTAGAAACAACAGTTGATTTCAAAGGTACCCCCAGAAGCATGATTTGACGTGTATTTGGCAGTAAATACGGTAAGCATAGTTGCAAGAAAATTAAGAAAATTGAATCTTTCAGCAATCCAGGTTTTGGAAATACTTTCCCAGATCAGCCAATAAGGCATTACATTGGAAAGGTTTTCTGGTTCTATCTAATACGAGAGCTGTATCTGAATGCTGGTCTTGCTAGATAATCCAAGTGAGCATGTATCTAAACATTTACATATAGATGAACTTGGTAAGTACTAAAGAAAAAAGTAAGTTTACAAAAATTTACTAATATGTGAAAGTTTTTTTCAAAAAACTGACATAACTCTCTTCATTGCCACAATCATGAGAGTTACGTCAAACATCATAGGCGTACCGGGCGGGGGGGGCGGGGGGGGGGGGCGGTAGCCCCCCCCAGTTTTTTGGGCAGTCGGGCAATATTCGATCAACAGTCGGATAATTTTGGTTTGCAATAAAAAAAAATGGGACAAATTCTGTCAATTTTGTCTAAAATTAAGTCATTTTTTGGCAAATTTTGTGATTTTTCGAAAATTTTTGCTTTGTACCGAAAAATATTGGTTGTCCGGAAAATTTTTCTGACCCCTAAAATAGTACACTGACCGAAATTTTTTGGGCGACGGGGGGGGAGGGGGAGGAGGTCGCCAAAATAATTTTTCCGGAAAAAATTTTTTGGCACTAGTCGGGCCGAATCCCGAAAAGTCGGGCAATTTTCTTTCCGCCCCCCCTAATTTTTTCCTTCCGGTACGGCCATGTTAAACATAACTCTCTCATGTTAGTTCAAGGAAACGTCGAGAGAGTTAAGAAAATGGGTGTGGTCGTTGGGAAAAGTGGGCGTGGTTTGGGCGTGGTTCGAACATAACTCTCCGAAATCTTAACTCTCCGAAATCTTAACTCTCCGAGATAACTCTCCACTTCATAACTCTCTGTTTAGCCAGTCCCCGATATCATACTCTACCTCTGACAGTTCGTCACTATCTTTTCCATTGGTTCAGCCCACACAAGTGCATACATCTGTACATTGTAACGCAACTTTCATGCATGAACAACGTTGGTTTTTGCAACCAGTCTTGCAACCACAGTTGATGCACTCAAGCAGTGAATCTGGCGCAGGAGGAGTGGTCATCCACACGATATGTAACTCCTCATCATATAAGCGCCAGCCATTTTCATCAATTGGAGGAATAGCCATTTCTGCGTCAAGTGATTGGAACCAAATAGCTGCTTGATAGTTTGCACGGCGTATGTGTTGCAGCAAACTGTCGCACGTTGGCGGTAGTTGATCATCAGAACACTTTTCCTGCTTGAATAACGCGAATCTGCATACTTTACTCATGTAAACATGTAACCGTAGTGAGTATTTTTTGTTAAAGTTTATCAAACGGTATTTGGAGCAGCTCCAATTCCAGACAAATGATGACTGGATAGAAATAAGCCCCAGCGGGGAGGCTTAATACAGAAACTATGGTCTTCACTGAATACTGGGTTCATTCATAATTATAATCTAGCAAAGTATATAATCTAGCAAAGTATATATATGTATTCCTATAAATACTTTTGTTTCTTATATTTTCGCATAAGCACATTAATTAAAGAGGTAGTAAATTGTAATGAAACAGCTAGCCCTTTTTCAACTAAATTGCGCAAAATTAATGTGAAGGGCCTGAAACGAGTTTGTTTAATATATCTTACATGAAGTATCCATGGAAATGTGGGGAAAAATGGCGTCTTTTCGTGTAGCTAAAAAACTGGGACGTTTTGGAAGTGTAAACAAACAGAAATGTGCTTGGTGAGTAAAAATCTACATATTTTTGACATTGAAAACTAGTTGCGTTGGGTGAATTCAATTCATCGTTTCTAAGCGACTTTCGGTGCCAGGGAATACGGACTAAATTCTGTTGTAGACGCAACGTTCAAACACCTTGGAGACCAGCGACAAAAGTGATATTGATCTATAGTTACAGACTTCATGGAAAGGACTTTTCTTTGGAATTGGACTGATATTAGACAACTTTCACTCCAACGGTAGTTTTCCGCAAGATAAACTCTTGTTGAAAAGTTCGCATAAAGATGGACTGATGTTAGCTGCGCAGGTTTTTAGCAATACCGCCGGAATTTTGAATAAATTTAAGATCTGAATTAATTTAAAATTAATTAATTAATTATTTAATTTAGAATTTTTTTAGAATTAATTTAAGTAGTCTTCAACCATAGTGCTTTGCTTATGGCCTTTTAGTGTTCTATAAGTGCCGAAATAGACCTTTCACACTTGCACTGTAAACATTTAAACTGTCAAGGTCAAATTAGGTCATTGGTACATGTCAATGCTTAGGAACCAGAGCTATACAAGCAATTGCTAGTTGCATCAGATCTAAAAATATAACCAAAGATTATATTATTATTATCTTTATAAAGTACATTTGCAGAGCGCGCTATTATCAGTCAATCAATACTCTATAAAGCATGTACACAATAAATATTTTTTATCCAACATGATCAAATATTTGAGATCACATTTCTGCCACTTGAGGTGTTTTAATTTTATACACATAATGAATATGTTTTGGACCTAACCTCGCACAATTGTGCAAATCGTACGTTCAATTCAACAATTTATTGTTCAAAATTCAAACCACTTTACCTTATTGCCATACACCTCTTTATATTCTCCTGAAATAGACGACTAGAATTCGAGAAATCAACACATCTCAGCTAGATAGTTTCGGCCAAGACAATTTTCTTGCATCCATCGAATTTATCTGCTTGAAACATTCTCCACAGAACACCAGTAAGCATTCCTTATCGTCACTTTCAAATAACGATCTAACCGTTTCGAAATCTACATCGTTCATTTCGATAATAGTAAATAAATACAAACGAAATAATTTGCTTGTAAAATTATACAGAACTGCAACAATGCCAACAAAAAGCTACCAAGTGCACAATGCTTCCAAATTGAAAATTAGAAGGCCAATTAGAGGAGATGTTCTTTAACTCTTTTGCGCAAATTGTCCAATCAGAGGCTGCTATCTATTTGCAGAATTAGTCAAAATAGTCAAAATTTCGCAATCGTTAGTCAAAATAGGTCTGACCAATCAACATGTCTGTAATGTGTAATCTG